TAAAGTTGTATCAGTGTCACATGATATAGAGGTTACTGTAGTCGCTGAAATAGAATCGCATTGAGTTTGTTGACCAGTCTCATAATTTAGTAGTTTTGCAATTAATTCCTCTTTACTCCAAGTAGCGTACTTTTCGGCACCAATTGAATGAGACATACGAATTAGAATTCGATAACTTGAAAAGTTTTGAAAACTAACGCTAATGCGAAACATCCTTATTCGGTAAATAAAATAAATGAATACGTAATACAATGATTTGTATTATCACATGATCGGTAGAAACTTATGTATATTCTACGAGCGATATTATGTATGCACTAAATTTTATTCTAAATACTTTCCACAATGTCATCACTTCATTCTAAGAGAATTGTGTTTGATAGAACCTTCCCGGATTTCAAGCAAGATTTAGAACGCTTGTTCAATTTTACGGGGCTAGATCCAGTTTCTGGAATGAATATGTATCAGTATCCTTTTCGAAAAACGAGCCTACTTTGTATTTATAAAATATTTTTCCGGTATTTTCTTTGACCGAGATCTTTACTTGTAAAAAGATTGGTTTATGATATGTGTACTTCTTATCCTAAGCCACATACAAAGAAATTATTTAATTCTATTGCCGAGTTTTTGACTCAGTATACTACAAAAATTCGAATGGTATGCAAAATAGTCAGAAATTACTTGATCCAATATCATTTTATGATAAATCATTGATAACCATTGATAACCTGGTTTAAATTATATTGAATATATTTCAAGTCAATTTTGGATCATGATGACGTAGTTAGCGCATATGTTAGAGAATGGGAACATTACCGAGTTGCTTCCGATGCTTCTAGCAAGATATGTGAATACCTTAACAGATTAATAATGAAAAAGGATCCTAAAGATCGTAGCGGGATGGACAGAAACCGTCTTGTTGAAGATGGCAAATATAGAAGGCAAACTGTTCACGCGGTTAGTATTTTGCAAGGAATATTTGAAAGTCACTATTTTCATTTCTATATTTTATTAAGAAAATTAAATTATTGAAAATTCAGTAGTTCGTTATTTTTTTTTTGTTTAAAATCATTTAAAGCTGGCGTATCTGATATGGAAAGAGCGAATTATTGACGACATAAGATTGAAGCACTCTGATCGGTTTATGTATCAGATATTTGAATTGATCCGAAGAGATAGGGACGGAAAGGATACAGTGCCTAATGTTGTCGCAGATGCAATTAATTCTCTTGGTATTTTAATTTTCATTACTTTTAATTTTTTA